TTTCTGTGAAAAGATAGTCGTTATAAAATTTGAAGCTGCATGATTTTAAAACCAAGCAATGATAATTCTGGAATTAAGAGGTCTTGCAAAGGATTGTAAAATTTAGGTTTATTTAGCTTATTTTTAAAACGAACTGGATAAAGGAGTTCCTAATTTGTTGCGAATAATTTGCATGCAGAAGAAAAATGAAGTTTTCCAACGTTTCCAAATTTCAATTCACTAATGAAAACAAAGAAACTGCTAGAGCCTCATGAGAGATTCGAATTCACGACCTTCAGTTTACGAAACTACTGCTCTGCCCCTGAGTTAATGAGGCATTTATGCAACCCTGCTATTATTGTGAAAGATATATTAACGCTGATTGATTCCGATCTCAACTGTGCCAAAGCACGTGTAGGAAGTTTAATTTGCTGTAAGTTCGTGGTACCCAGACCGCTCGCGCCGCGATCTGCACTAGTATTGTTCGTATCAGTCTTCGAAGGAGTTTGGAGAACTACATCTCCCCTTCAGGTAAGTACTTAACCCGCCGGGGAAATTACGTTTCTTTACTTCTCCTGCAGTCCCGCTTATATAATTTGCAATAAATTTCCACTTATAAACCCCTTCTGCTCTTCCTCCACCACTTCAATGTTGGCTTTTATCCCGTAACTTCTGATAACGTACGCGTGCTTGTGGGACACGGGGAGATTTGCATGAATAATATACACCCACATGCATGCAATTGCGCCGCAAATTAGATGATACAAAACAATTAAATCTCAGTTGTGTGAACTATTTTTGACAACGACTATCTGAGAATGTGTTATTTTGGAAACTTGATCTTTAAACATTATTTCATTTTTACTCTTTACATAGCTTATTTCGAATGGTCTTGGCGTAAAATTCCCAGATATCAACGCGCAAAGCAGCCGCTCGCGTGCAGGACGGATCCGCGAGTTGGACGTGTTACGAAAGTATATCTAAATAGTATAAAAATAGTTCAGTTTGCAACCCAGGTAATTATAGGTATTAGTTACGTCAAATGGAGAGATACTGTAATGAGCATTTTTGCTGTAAAACTCAGATAAAGTATATACCATTTCGGACTTGTGTAAAAGTGTCAATTATCTGTCCATTAGGCAAGATAAATCATTTGTCAAACTGTCAAAGTTGGACGATAACCTTGCATGGTGGGCTGCTGTGTTTACATAATTCAAAGTCCAAGGCTGGTTCTTCTTTGACATGGAAAATGTGCATGCTTAGGGCGTTTCTGTCAATCATTCTTCGGTATTATATATTTCGCGCGGTTGAATAATGATAACATTACGTCATCAAAATCTTGGTTCAATAAAATTGTAAGTAAATTTAGTTTATTAGGTAAAGTAAGGTTCACATAGGTATAGTTTGAAGTTTTTACTATGATATTTTGATAAGTATTTTAAGTTGTGAACATATTTTAGCATTGGTTGATTGAGCAGCGAACCAACTCGACCAGTGCGACAACGCCTTAAATAAACAGAATGTGAGAGCTGGAACGAGCTAGCAACGCCAACCCACACTTTAAACCTCAACGTTGATTGGCTGGATACAAATCACACCACTTGCTAGATCACGCGTACAAAGATCCTCTCAACCGTTAGTATAAAAGAGCGTGCACAACCCAAATTCGTCAGTGAACGTAGACTTAATAGAACTTAACTGATGAAAAGCTACTGAAGCTCAAAACGAAACAGCACGGACAAAGAAGAGGCACTAAAGACAACGAAGATTTAAAGGTTGAAGTGAACCCTAAGGAAACCACTACAAGAAAACGAACGTGAACACGAAGGAACGAACAGTATTGAACATTTAAGAACTGATAGTTATTTAAGATTGTTGTAACGATTCACTACACTACCTAAATAAAGCCTCGTAACAGACGTGGCATGTACGAATGTTCATCTGTGTCTGCGCAGTGTACTGTCGCGACAAAACATTCGCTTTTGATAGATTTGTTGACATGCCTTTTATCACATGCATGCAACACATATTATCAATGTTATTCCCTGTTCAAAGTTCAAAGTAAGAAAATTCTGTCAGTTTGTCATAGAGATAGTTACGTCAGTTGATGTGTAACATGAAGCAGTGTAACACTGCACCATGCATTACTCCATGAATCTCGCTGGGTTATCATTTCGTTTCAATTTTAGGATTCGTTCTCAAACTTCGTCCGTAGTGTTAAAATATGTTTCCATATGCCTGAAGTAATGTACTGGGAAGGCAGTTACTACAGATATGAGCCAATGAACCTCGAAGCCATTTCGTGCATATTTTCCATAGAAATAATAGACCTAATATTTCTATGATATTTTCCAACGATCATATTTCATATTGGCTTAGTTGTTTTTCACTTTTTCACTTTTACCCTTATGGTAGTTCAAAATAATTCATCAATAGAAAATCCCACTTTTTCATAACATGTGGAAAAGATTCGCTGAACGAATATGCCTCATTAGATCAGGGGTTAGAGCACTGGTCCAGTAAACCAGGGATCCAGAGTTCAAATCTCTGATGGGGCTGCAATTCGTATTTTTGAAGCGAACTCGATGAAGGAGTTCGTATTTGAAGCGAATAAAGTTTCAATTAAGTAAATGAAGTTGTTCAACGTTTTGCACTTCCTCAGCCTCAATGTAGTAGCTAACTCTCAAAAATTTTCTCAAAATTCAATTCATTATAGCTGAGCCTCATGAGAGATTCCAACTCACGACAAATTAGCTTGGCAGGCGGTTTTTTATGGGTAGCGAAAATTAGGGAGGCAAGTGAAAAACCGTCCGTAAAAACCTCCTGCCACGCAGGCTAGAGCTAATGAGGCACAAGTTACTGCAACCGTGCATTGATTGTGAAATATATATTAACGCTGATTGGTTCCAGTCGCATCTGTGCCAAATCACGTGCAGGAAATGTAACTTGCTGTTAGGGGAGAGGAACGATATTGTGCATAACAGATAATATAAATTGACTTACGAATACAATCTAAAACTGCATGTGTTCCAACTACTTTTGAAAGTGATTGTTTGAAAGGCTTGTTAAATCCCTAGCTCTTTGAATTGCCGAGTATTTTAAAATATAATCTTTGCGAAATTCGTATAGCACTTGTCATAACATGTTCACTGAATTGCATTGGCATATGCAGTGTTCTTTTTGTGCTTGCCATAGTCAATATGTTGGAAATGTGTTATAAAGCAATAGTATATCATAAATAAACTAATAAGCAGATGAGGTATATTGGGAGTGAAGTATGTCGAGAGATTAAAACTGGTCTATGCGAGGGATAAATGAAAACGGTTTGAACACGTGCTCGGTTGACACACGGTTGTCGCGTTGATTCAAACATTATTTTCGTTGATTTAACTTTACCTTTCAGTTTTTACAACATACAGTCGAACCTCTATTAAGCGGCCCTCCATTAAGCGGCCACCCTCTATTAAACGGCCACATATCGAAGTCCCGAAATTTTTGTAATAAAAATACTATAAACTATCTCTCTATTAAACGGACACCTCTATTAAGCGGCCGCGGCCACACAAAGAGCAGTCCCAAATGATGTTTTATGTCAATTTTTACCTCTATTAAGCGGCCAGTCTGCAGGATTTACTTGCAGGCGCAACACCTTGTCACAAGAGCCGAAAATAAAAGTCGAGCTAATTTGCTTTATTTGTAAAATTTTGTAAAATCTTAAAAATTATGTTTTAACACATGCCACTTTCCACCTCAAAAGCTTTACACCTCAAAAGCATTGACTACGCCCAGGGTCTATTATTTGCGTACCTCTATTTAGCGGCCACCTCTATTAAGCATCCACAAAGCCGATCCCCGAGGGTGGCCGCTTAATGGAGGTTCGACTGTAGTCATTTTCAAAACATTTGCTAGAAATAAAAGTATTTAATTAAAGAAGAAAATAGACATGCGGAAGTATCCCGTATCTGGCAAAATTAGGCGGGATATTCACCGTATAGTATTGGAACTTGTTGGGGAAGTGCACTCCCACACACCTGACCATTGCTATCCTCCTCTAATAAGTAATGATAAATCATGGTTATTTATTTATTTCAAATACAAATATAGTTAGCATAAATTTTGGAGCAAATTTGGATGCTCAGAATGCAGGAAATGACATTTCCGGGATTCAAATTTCAAAAATTTTCTGGGGGAGTACTCCCTCAGACACTCCCCATTCATGCGTGGTATATTGGCCACACACGTGGCCTTCAGCCATTGCTATCCCCCCTCTAATATATTATCTCACAGAAAGGTCCCTTTTCAAAAAATCCCCCCCCCCCCCACGGGAAAATCCTTAAAAAATGCCCTGGTTCCAAATGTAAACAAACCGTTTGTTTACATACGGACTTGACTTCCACTTTAACATAAAGTTATAAAGACTGTATGTTTAGTGAATTTAATTGACTGAATTATACTTTAAAAGTAAAAAATAGAATTGGCCAAGATAAGAAATTTTTGACACTGAACTTTTGTTAATTATTGTTTCAACTTCAATTTTGAAAATTGTAATAATAACTTCGTTAATATTTAATAATCCACAGAGTGTGGACATCCATGCGGAATGTACAAATTATCGACTTTTTGAGTGAAGTTTTACTTGAATTTTCAGGTAGTTGTATCTCTCGAAATCTGCAGTTATCTTGATATTGTCTCTATCTGCTTTTTCATTTCATACTGGGTGAACATTACCGTGAGGATAGCAAATTCACAACAAATGTGTCCTCTTTTACCACTTTCCTAATTATCTTAATTGTTTCATTGAACTAAACTAAATATGAACTAAACGGTTGAACTAAATATGGTAAGCTAACACACTTAGTTCATGCTTACGTACCTTTTAACCAGGGTAAACAAGGGCCCATTTTTTATAGTGGTGCAAGTTATTCAATAGGGTACTAACCTTGTATATAAGCAGGGCCTTAATTATAGCATTTTAAAACAAATCTG